ACGTAAATTTGGCTGCCAAGCCCATCAAGTAAAGTGACAGAATAAAACCACACGCAAGTCAACTATCGTCATGCATAGATATCATAACCCAATTTTTGCATTTCATTTCATTTTGATTCCTTTGCTCGTATTCGTATGCATGGAGATAGCATTTACTGCAAGCGATACAAAAGTTACAAAATAAAACAAACACGAAATCATTCCACGACTCAGAAACATATCTTGCGTAATATACTTCACAAACTCCAAAGACTCGGCCTCGGTAACGAGAAAAACGTGATGAAAAAAGCACGAGCAGATTTAAACGATACTTCGCTTCATAAAAGGTGACATTGAATGACGAGAAATCTGGCAGAATGTATAGATTGTTGTTATATGATGATTAAATTGTCAGAACTTGCAGCGTATGATAGTTCTTGCGAAAAGCGTCCAGTGATCATTTTTTTTCAGTGCATTTGTAGTGATGATACTTGTGAAAAAAGCATTTCGTTGCATTTTCGAGACAAAGAAATGCATTTCCAGACGAAGACTCGGCCGCGCAGAATTTAGCTAGCACTTTCAACAACAAATCAACTGCCTATGTTAAAGTATTCTCTCTTATCAGCATCTACTTTCGGCGACCACCGTTCAATAACATGTCTATTGCATCTAGAACCAAACTTTGCCACTCAATGGGTTTGTATCCGTAGCATAGGTTCTCTTGATGCGAAGACTTAACACTTCGACGCTCGGAACTTGCAGTCAAACTGCTTACAGACCAATCGTATCGAAAATTGGTCTAAATTGCTAAGGATTCAAATAATCTTCCAGTCCAGGTACGAATGTAACATATTTGAACAACGTCACATCACGAGATCTCAGCAGCCCAAAATCATGGAAGAGGATTGGAGTTCGGCTTTACCGATTCCATAAACTAACAAAAAGACTTGGTAATATCTGAAGCGTGAGTTTCATCAAAATGCCTGGTGAGCAATTACCTCAAGAAATGCCTGCCTTATACTCAGTATCTTGGGAACAATCCCAGTATGAAAGAGTTGCCTAAAACTTCTAGGAAATGAAAATATAATATGCAAAATTATCCAGTACTTGCTTGCTTGGATGTTCCCGAAATTATAAATCTAGATTGTTAAACTAATTTCGACACGTCTTGCATCAGCAACTTTTTATTAATGGTGCTTAACAAGGAGATTCAGCGATAAAACAGCAAATGCGGAATGCTAAACATCCAAGTTCGGTTACGACAATATAACAACCATGTTGGGACTTTGTCAATGTGTGTCAGGCAATTGAGA